AGGATATTTTGAACTATAAAAAAACCGAAACGAAATAGGATCTGTGTTTTAAACAGATTGTAAAGAGCTCTGATTACACTGATAATTTCCAATTCTAAAAAGCGTGATTATAGAGGACATTGCACAAAGCGGTGAGATTCCCTAATATAAGCTGCAATCTTTAATATAATATGAATTGAAAATAAAGCTGAGATTTTCAGTAAAATATAAAATGAAAATTAAGCCATCATTTTCAGTACAATATAAATTGAAAATTAAGCCACCATTTTAAGAATAATATAAATTGAAAATTAAGCTCTGAGATTTTCAGTACAATATAAATTGAAAATTAAACCAAGATTGAAAATTAAGCCAATATTTTCTGTATACTACAAATTGAAAATTAAGCTGTGATTTTCAGTATGATATAAATTCATGTATTGTAGATATAAAGAGATTCAAAAAAATAAATTACTTTACATAAATTTATAAGCCATACATGTTATTTAAGTCAAACTTGACTTGTGAGTCATGTTCTGGTATTGACTCTCCCAAAACTAAGTCGAAATGGAACTTGTCGCGAGTATATTTCAATTCCAAAATTTTGTATAATTATGAACTCGTGTGTCATGTTTTAGTTCCGACTGTGATAGACCGGCCATCAGAAAAACTGTAGCTGACAGAATATAAATATACTTGATACATTTATTATGCTAAAAACAAATTACCGGTAAATGGAAACCTTATATTAAGGGGTGAGGCTACCAGAAACCTTAACGGGTACGGCTCCAGGAAACCTTAAGGGGTAGGCTACCTAAAACCTTATATTAAGGGGTGAGGCTACCAGAAAAATGTTTTTTAAATTTTAAAGCTATTGAATTGAAAATGGTACAAGTATCTAGGAAATGTAATAAACAAGGGAAAACTAACATTAAAAAATAAAAGAAAAAAAAAGTTGTTGCCAGGGTAACACATTTTTTGGGGAAAAATTATGAAAAACGTAGGTACACCATATCTCTGGCACTAAAAAAGATAAATTTCTCATTTTTGGAATGCATTTTCTTTAATGATAACCCCAAAACCAGAGAGTTTTTCTCTATAATTGTTATAGTTTCTTGGAAAATGGTGAATAAAACATTTGCCTCATGACAAGATTTTGTCTTTGGACAAATATTTTGATAACTTTTGAAATATTAATGATAATTCAAATTGCTTTCTGTTTGATTCTGGGGGTAGATATGTGTTTATATAGCCTGCAAATTTGGTGAAGATATCTTAATTAGTTACAGAGATATAGTGTACCTACGTATTTCATACTTTTTCCCAAAAAAATATGTTACCCTGGCAACAATTTTTTTTGAATGCTAGTTTTCCCTTGTTTATTACATTTCATAATACTTGTACTTGTAGCATTTTCAGTTCAATAGCTTTAAAATTTAAAGACATTTTTTTCGGGTAGCCTCACACCTTAAAGAGGCAATATTACAACACAACAAATCTTACATGTATGTAATTAATACAAGAATTATGCAAATATAAATGGGAGTAGGGAAACAGGGACATTCTATATATTATCTACATGATATGATGAATGAATAATTACCTACATTTATGGTCAACTCGCTATGATATGTTTTTTGTACATGTGTAGTTAAATGAAAAATAAGGAAAAAAAAAAAACCCTTGCAATTTTCTATTAACAACTATAAATGAAAAATGTGCATCTTTAATTTCCTGCGTTGATTTTCAGTAAAGATACAATGAATTCAATGTATTTTTTAAATAATGTGCTTTTTTTTGTTTGGGGAAGGGGGAGAGGGCAGTATATTCTACATTAGAATGCATAATTTTAAATCGGACAAGGACTCCTATTTGAATTGTTCAATCATGATACCAAAAATAATTAAATGCAATTATTTTTCATTTCAACTATCACATTAATTTTAAATTATCTTTTCTTTTCACCGATCATTTGGCTCCTCACTGTTTTGTGCCATTTTGGCTTTGCCTCAGCCACACACGATTGGATAAAATGTTAGATGCCTTTAGGCTCAACCAATCATATTTTCTTTTATAAAACAAACACAACCGTTACTGAACACATTTCATTCCTTTTCAAGAAATTGCTACACACTGTATGTCTTTATACTGGACTTGGACTCCTTTATGAAGTCCCATCACTCTACAGTGTTAATCACGAACAGACAAGGGCTACTGGACATCCTTTATGAAGTCACATCACTCCACTGATAATCACGAACAGACAAATGATATTGGACATCCTTTAAGCACAACCAAATGCATGCACTCTATGACTTCCAATATACATGTATGTGGAAGAATGATTAATCTGAGACGGTCCTGCAACATATGACGTAGGGTAAGAGTTAGGCTTTGTCCAGGGTTAATTAAGTGTTAGGGCTAGCCCTGTTTACATCTCTAGACTTTGACGAAATCAGCAGGTCCTAACCCTTACCCTAACCCACATGACGTCATATGTGCTGAAATGTGCAGGACCGTCTTCTATCCAGCGTTCTCCACATATGTGACCGGTGCTAGCAAAATCAGTCGGAAGTCGCATTCGTTCATTTTGCGCTATAGGCAATATACAGCAGTCACATAATAATATAAGTTATATTATTAAAAGATATTTTTTAGCCTATTTTTACCTAACATAAAAGTAAAAGATTTGCGATTTCCGACACATTTGGCTATCACACACAAAATATTAATACATAGTTATATATAATGAATCGAAATAAATACTCAAGTACGAGGTACACAATCGTGACCAACATAACTTGAATAAAACTGGTGTAAAAATCTAAATCCATTTTTTAGACTAGTTCACAACATGGCACATAAACATAAAAGAACCGGCCAATCGAAATTGGAATATACATGTAGGCCTACACACACATTTATGTATGTGAAAGTTATTAGGGCTGGACGTCAGAAGCTGTCCACCACCCATATTCTCTTGATTGCACATGTAGTATTATTATTAGGGCGGATATATTCTTAAATCACCCCCGAAATTTGGTCCGAACGTAATGAATGCACAAAAGTAAAGTTCTGATATTCCACAAATAATGTTGTCAGCAATTAAATCGGCCATCTTGAATTTATGAAAATCAGAAATTATAAAGAGCACAATATCACCATGACAACAGATGTAAAATTTGGTCCGAACGTTTAGAATGCACAAAGTAAAGTTCTGATTTTCACAAATTTATGAACACCAGAAATTGTAAAGAGCTCATTATCACCATGATCACAGATGTCAAAAGTTTGTGTGCTTAGCATTATCTGCGGCCCACTTGTTAGGCATACATGTATTATCCAGACTGTTTAGGAATGAGTCGTTGTCTAATGAAATCATTTCGTCTGGATAATCCTGTAAAAAAACGATGGGATACATTGAATGACATGAACAAAATATTTTATTTCTTGAGTACATTTGTATCATATCTTGGTTGCTGGAATTTGAGTTTAATTTCTAAATGCGGTGTCAATTCCGACATCGTACGGAATCAATATAATATGCTGGATTGCACAGCATGTTGGAATACTCAATTGACTCAATACCGGAAGTATTATACCGAAAGAATTATTGTACCTTTGAATACAGGAAGTATTGTTATAATGCACTCACGAATACCTAGAACTTAAAATATGATAACGCTTTCTGTACATTCTGTACACAATATTATAATAATGGTGATTCCTCATCTCGGCAGTTTATATATAATGTCGCTGTATTTGAAGTGAGAAACTCAAATCAAATACCAAGCGCTCTCTTACAAGATATTATAAAATCATCAAGGTCATCAACAAAGACCGACATGCGTTTTATGCTCACAGATAAATGATGTATTCAAATCCAGTAAATATAGAGGCTAGCGATGACATAGTGAGTTGATTATGGTCTTGATAAGTTAATTAATAATCTAGATAACATTTCAGGCCTACACAAAGACCTGCAATAGGCAGATTTAGCTCTTGCATAATGTATGTTTAACTTATCCTGACCATAATCAACTCGCTGTCCTCATTAGCTTGTGATATTTAGTGAATTTGAATACATTTTGTGATGGATAGTAGAACATTAAACCCCATTTCATTTAAGACAAGTAATAAATATGAAATACAAACCCTCGGTAAATCCACATGACCATTGATGTAACTAAGTGTAACATTATCTTCCCAATACGCTGATAAATCCGCTTTTGATCCTGACAACTGGTGTTTTTTCCGTGTACAACAGATTGCTATGGCAACCACTGAAACAGAAGCAAGTTGTATTCAAAAAGACACAATATTGACAACTGTGTAACTAGGTTTTGAGTATCCAACAAAGTACACATATACTGTAATCAATACATTGGTGATTTCCAACTGGCAAAGGTTCTTTTACATGGAGAGAGAGAGAGAGAGAGAGAGAGAGAGTGAAAGAGGGCGAGAGATTAACGACACAAACAAGGTCATTTCGGGACTAACATATTTTTCAAATTTTTATTTTAATAATTTGCTTGTGCATAGGGTTTTTCAGCAGTGGGAGGAAACCTACTCCTGGTTACATACGTGTACAACCGGGGAATTGAAACTATGCCAGTTGAATCAATGACAGACCTTATGATACAACACGAATCTTTATGGCGAGTCTTTGGTGTGGGTTGAACGGAACTATGGGTAACCCACTAGAAACATCAACGCTGATTGGTAAATCAAATGTCTGACGTCATAGGGTCGAAGCAGCTCATATGACCTCAGACTTGACCTCCCACTACAGCTGATCAGATCTTCATGTAGTAGGGGCCATCGAAAGCATAAAAAAAAAAAACGAAAAGAAATATAGATCTGTATTTTAATCAGATTGGGCCTACACAAAAAATATTTCTGCTAAAAACTTACCTAGAAGTAAAACTAACGCTGCAGACCCACACGCGATTCCAATAATTACTGACGTTGGTAAACTCCACCCATCTTGTCCTGTATATGTTTTGCAGTCTGATGAATTTTTCGATCCAGTACACGTCACATTTGTTTCTTTCACAGTCGCGGGTGTTGGCGTAATTTGTGGCGGGGCGGTGGTTTTTGGAATGGATGACGTATTTAAAGTTGCTGTTGCACTATTATTAGCGTACATGCTAGATGCAGACGTTGAAATGGTTACCGTTGACAAAATGGCTGAACTAGGCAGATATGAGGTAGAATTGACAGGATTAACAGTGGCAGGATTTATGCTTGCGTTATTTGTGGGAGATGCGGAAACACTTTGTGTCTGTGATATACTTTGATTGGCAGTAGATGCAGACGCTAAAGTCGGAGTTACAGAAATACTGGTAGCTGATTGGCTGACTGTGGTTGAGGGCATTATTTCATTGGTCGTTGATGACTGGCTAGCAACCAATAAAATGAATGATAACAGCCATGTCAACATCAATGTTTTGTCTACAATGATAAAATTTACGTAAATTACAGTCTGGCTATTATTACATGACATTACAACTGAAGCATCGTGGAGTTTCTGTATTTCATGTTTAGTTTCCAAAGAGAGAGAGAGAGAGAGAAATGGGGTTTAACGTCCACTCGACACAAACTAGGTCATTTCGGGACTAACATATGGTTAATTTTATTTCAATAATTCGCTTGCGCGTAGTGGTCTTTAGCAGTGGGAGGAAACCGGAGGACCCGAAGAAAACCCACAAGGTTGGACAGGCGACCCTACTCCTTGTCACGTACAACCGGGGAATTGAACCACGCCAGTTGACTCAATGACAGGCCTTATGATACAGCACGCACATGCTAACCATTCGGCCACCCAACCCCCGCTTAATTTCAAACCATGGTTGGCAAAATTGTTAAAATTCGTTGAGAATCATCTAAAAACATTGGGCTTCTATTGTTGTGTAGTTAACCAGCGGCCGCCAGGCAGGTCACGCCCACATTTTGCAAGAGATGGATAGAGAACTAGCTAAATAAAAAGTGATTTTTCGTAAAATAAAGGGCCATAATTCAGGAAGTTACGATCCGATATGTATGAATACCGACAGGAACCAAGATCTTTGGGTTATAATGATATATTTCAAGTTTCATCAAAATCGGATCAACATTGTGACTTCCAGAGGGTCCACAACCTTGATATACCATATATTTACGGCCATTTTGACAGGCAGTTTTGGTCCGATTTTCACAAAATTCTAACACAAAATATTGAAACGTTTTTTTTCAATGGGATAAAAATTGTGACCTCTAGAGGGTTTACAACTGTTTACTTTCCCGAGCAGCGTTGAGTAATTAATCAAACATTAAATACAGAAACTCCTGCTAAAACAACACAACTACACGATACCCGAGTTATAGCACGAGGTATGTAACATAATTAAATACAGAAACTCCTTCTAAAACAGCACAACTACACGATATTAGAGTTATAACGTGAGGCATGTAATATAATTAAATACAGAAACTCCTTCTAAAACAGCACAACTACACAATATTAGAGTTATAACGTGAGGCATGTAATATAATTAAATACAGAAACTCCTGCTAAAACAACACAAACCACACGATACCTGAGTTGTAACGTGAGGCATGTAATATAATTAAATACAGAAACTCCTGCTAAAACAACACAAACTACACGATACCCGAGTTATAGCACGAGGCATCTAACATAATTAAATACAGAAACTCCTTCTAAAACAGCACAACTACACGATATTAGAGTTATAACGTGAGGCATGTAATATAATTAAATACAGAAACTCCTGCTAAAACAACACAAACCACACGATACCTGAGTTGTAACGTGAGGCATGTAACATAATTAAATACAGAAACTCCTGCTAAAACAGCACAAACTACATGATACCTGAGTTGTAACGTGAGGCATGTAATATAATTAAATACAGAAACTCCTGCTAAAACAGCACAAACTACATGATACCTGAGTTGTAACGTGAGGCATGTAATATAATTAAATACAGAAACTCCTGCTAAAACAACACAAACCACACGATACCTGAGTTGTAACGTGAGGCATGTAACATAATGAAGTCTTAGTACATAAATTAAAATAAATGTAAATCAGTTTTTAACATTTTCTGTAAATTTACAGCTGTTGAAGAATCTTTATTTTTATTAATCATCTTGCCCTTATATTTATATATACTCCAAATTTCGGCCTCAGGGTAGTGCTAGTGTAACTGTCAACCCTGAACAGACAAATATATAGACAGATGACAGCAAATATCTTAAAAACAACAAACAAACAACTGCCATGCAAGATACACCCACATTTTACAAGAGATGGACAGAGAACAAGCTAAAAAAAAAAACTAAGCGATTTTTCGTACAATCAGGGGCCATAATCCAGGAAGTTATGGTCCGATATGTGTGAATATCTTACAGGAACCAAGATCTTCGGGATAAAAACATATATTTTAAGTTCCATCAAAATCAATAATACATACTTTTACACTATTTGCGTACAAGGAGCAGCCATTTTGTCCCGCAGTTTCGGTCCAATTTTCACGAAATTCGAACTCAACCTTCATTAGGGTGTAATGGTGACATATTTAAATTGAATAAAACCATGAGGTTTCGATCTGATACATGCCAATATGGAAAGGAACCAAGATCTTTTGGAGATAAACCGTCAAAATCGTATAAGAATTTTGACCTATAGAGCGTCCACAAACAAATTGTGGATGGATGTCTGGACCGATGGACAGGGGCGACGACAATATACGACCACCACATGAAAATTTGGGCGTATAAAAATCAACAAAGTTTAACTTTAAACTTACCCATTTTAAAAGCCAATGTACTCCAATAATAGTCCATTATGCCTTGTTGTTCAGCAAATACTGTGAATTAATCTCTATGCCATTTCTGAAATAAAGAAATCATCAACACCATTAACTTAAAATTGGAAATCTACATCTATAAGTGGCAAGTAGCCGTACCTGATTCCTCTCATGAAGTCTTCATACTTTCAAAGTGAGGTGAGCCACGGTAGCTCAATGGGTTCTGTGTTCGATCCCTGCGTTGGCTGATAAAGTTCATCAGGATTTTCCGACGTGGTTCTCCCTTACCAGAGGTGCCGGCCCAGGGACTGGCAAGGGACAATGTATAGTCGTTCGGATTGGGACAAAAAACCAAGGTCCTGTGTACATATTGGTATTCACGTTAAAGATCCCTTGGCAGTTGGATTTCGATATAAGAGTCGGCCGTAGCAAACTGTATGATGTATGCTCGATTTCATTAGCCCAGTCGGAGCAGAATAGTAGGACTTTGGTGATTTTAAACGATTTTTAAACAAAATTTGATATCGAATAAATGTAAAGAGATTAGGGCTAAACACACAAGATTAAATAACACCCAGTTAAAGTGATAGTTGTATCCAGAGCTTCCAACCTACACTTTGTTAATCTCTGGAATTCGTACATTAAGTTTGATCTTTAAAAATCAACCTTATTCCTTTTATTTCAAAGAATATTTTGCCAAAGTAGAGTACAGGCCCATTTTGCCATAGTTGTCTTAGATAAACTTGTAGAATACAGGTTTATTTGTGTAATCCGATACTCCTCGCAGTGTTTCATTTGATTAGAGCTAATGGAAGCCAATTTCTGTTCCAAATTATGATGGTCAATAGTCCAGTTAACAACCAATAGCTAACTGCAAAACATATGATTACGCTTTAAACAGAGCTCCAAACTGGACCAAATATGTTTACATAACATTACGTCATGACTCACGATTTTATTCTGCCCAATTAACTAGTGTATAGCAGAATATTGCAAAAAAAATGATTGCATGACAAACAAGGCTATCAACACAGATACAATGTAAACAATACCTTAAATCACTGTCCAAATTTTTAGGGAAGACCCCACATTAAATGAAGGACTGTCATGTTGCTGTACTTGGGATAGATTTGATTGAATGGGAAGAATAAAAACATTCTCTCAAAAGCTCAAGTATCAGAAGCTAATCCAGCAATATCACACTGATGCACAGTGAATATTCGCTAGGGCGCGACAACCACTGATAAGGATGACATCAATGCGACTTAATGAGCCAAAATATTAACTTTTTTCCTCTGACAAATTAAATTCTCAAACATTTTGTTTATGTATTAGAAAAATAAATAAAGAATTGAAGTATTTGTAGGTAAAAATTATTTCCTATTTTAGTGTAAATGGGTATTAAAATGAGTAAAAGGCACCATTTACGTCTTATGTAAACAATGCACGGGCCATTGAGCCAATGATATGATGTCATATGTTGAAGGCAATCATCTTTTACAGATATATTAGAAGACTTTCGTAATCCTCTGTGAAACAGATTGCAGCAATGTAATCCTAGAGAAATAAAACTGTTATAAACTTGCCATTTTTACAGTGATATCCTTGTAGAATACAGATCCATTTATGTCATATAATCCTAGATTTCTATGAATAAAATACAGAAATAAATCTGGTGTAGAATTGCTATTTCCACTGTGATGTATCTTCTGTGAGTTTTGTGAGGATTATTCACAGAATGTTGTCAACTTTTATAGTGGATAATAAAACATTGTGTCAAGAGGTCAAACACAGAGGTCAAATAAACATCCATTTGTTATAAGCTTGTTGTATATAAGACAACTCCTAGAAAATTTTACATTGTAATTAAATAGCTATTTATTATAATGAATGAATGAAATTGGGTTTAACGTCCTACTGTTCTGCTCTGACTGGGCTAATGAAGACAGGCATACGTCATACAGTGTGCTATGAAGGAAATTTTGCCCTTACTCTTATATCGAATTCCAACTGCCAAGGGATCTTACATTTTGCATTGTAATTACAAAAATGTAAATTAAACTGCTATTTATTATAATGAATGAATGAAATTGGGTTTTACGTCCTACTCTTCTGCTCTGACTGGGCGAATGAAGACGGGCATACGCCATACAGTGTGCTATGAGGATAGCAGAGAGAGAGAGAGAGAGTGAGAAATGGGGTTTAACGTCCACTCGACACAAACTAGGTCATTTCGGGACTAACACATGGTTCAATTTTATTTCAGTAATTCGCTTGCACGTAGGGATCTTTAGCAGTGTGAGGAAACCGGAGGACCCAGAGAAAACCCACAAGGTTGGACAGGCGACCCTACTCCTTGTCACGTAAAATCGGGGAATCGAAACCCTGCCAAACCGGAGGACTCAGAGAAAACCCACGACATTTGACAGACGACCCTACTCCTTGTCAGATTCAAGCCGGAATCAAAATCATGCCACATAACTCAAAGACAGACCTTGTGATTTCACTTGCATGCGTTAACCACTAGACCACCTCCCCCCCACCACCTTGAATGATACACGGTTATCAAATGAAGAGAATAGTAATTAAAACAGAGAATCGAAACCATGCCACTTGACTCAAAGACAGACGAAGTGATTTCACGTGCAAGCGTTAAACCATTAGACCACCTCCCTCCCACCACCTTGTATGGTACGTGATTATCAAATGAACAGAATAGTAATAAAAACAGGGAATCGAAACCACGGTCCTTGACTTAATGACATAAAGAGAGAGAAATGGGGTTTAATGTCCACTCCACACAAACTAGGTCAAGTTAGGACAAACCTACATGTATTGATGAAGTAATGTACGGTACAGCCGTAATTCTGTTAATTTTATTATTTAAAAGCCTGTTTGATTTTTGTTATTTTTCAATATAAGCCAGTAAAATCTGCGTGTCTAACCGTGTTAAATTAACAATCTTTCTTTTGGCATGCCGATATTCGACTACGATATCACTGCCGTGGAATCGCACGATAAATAAACCCATTTCAAACCAGCTATGGATGTGCCGACTGTACATGCGTGGAAAGTCCAACTTTTTAAAATTTCGCGGTGGGCGGCGGTTTAAAATAATCGCGGAGGTCGGCGGTTTATTTAAATTCGCGCAGGAATTTTAGAGCGGAATTTTGAGCGTGGCCAGAGCGGATTGATTAACTGACGTCCGCGATTTTTCATTTCCGCCCAGGTCGGACCTCGGGGAAATTTAGTACTTCCGCTTGAAGTGTACTGTATGATTAAATTTCATTTTAATGTCTTTAGCAGTGGGAGGATACCAGAGAACCTGGAGAAAACTCACAAGATTGGACAAGTGACACTACTCCTTGTCCAATATGTCATACAAGCTGCCAATCAAAGTAAGTCTTCATTATAGGAGCAGAACAGTAGGACATTACTCCCCATTTCATTTCATTTAGACCATTCATTGTAATCAAATTAACAGGTATTCATTTTTACCTTGGATGGTATAGTGTAATTAAATTACCAGGTGTTTATTTTAACCTTGTATGGTATATTGTAATTAAATTAACAGGTATTTATTTTTACCTTGTATGGTATAGTGTATTTAAATTACCAGGTGTTTATTTTAACCTTGTATGGTATATTGTAATTAAATTAACAGGTATTTATTTTTACCTTGTATGGTATAGTGCAATTAAATGAATAGGTATATTACATTAACAGGGCCTGAAGAGGTTCAAGAGAACTAAAACCATGGGTCTATTTCATGTTTTATATGATTATTAAAGGAGCTAAGTCTCTTAACTCAATATTTTCCATAATAGTCGAAATCAAAAACATGAATTAGAATTCAATATTGATCAATTTCAATCAATATTGATGTGGTTATCTTACCGTGAAACTACAGGATCCTAATATCCAATATTTAAGACACAATTAACACTTCATAATCAGTACACATGTCGTATTGGTTTCGGGTGCCAATTTGTAATGAACAAAGAAAAACATATCCTACAACCCAATGTGGAAGTAGTTAGTAAAGGCTGATTCACAAACGACAATATAATAATTTAAAAAACGACTGCCGTTCAGTTTGAACTATTCACATATTTCACTGAACATTATTGAATATAAATCACTTTACATACATTCATAATAAATTAATATGTGCTTTTAGAACCATTTTTGTCTATAACAAGGTTCCCAAAAATAGAGGGGGGGGGGGTGCCGATTGGTTATCATGTGCGCGCTGTATCATAAGGTCTGTAATTGAGTCAATGGCATGGTTTTGATTCCCCAGTTGTACGTGGAGTAGGGTCGCATGTTCAACCTCGTGGGTTTTCTCTGGGTCCTCCGATTTCCTCCCACTGCTAAAGACCTCTACGCGCAAGCAAATTATAGAAATTAAATTAAAACATATGTTAGTCCTGAAATGACCTAGTTTGTGTCGAGTGAACTTAAACTCTCTCTCTCTCTCTCTCTAAAAACTAGAGTCATACACCCTTTAAACTTGTATGGTAATCAAACTAAGGGAATCATAATAAACATGTGTTTTTACTCTCAGCAACAACAATATAATCAATAACACTAATGAGTTTCCCATTCAAAAGATTCGATTCCAGGCAATGAAATATAAGTCAACAACTGTAAAAAAAGGTTATTGCATTATGATCCTTTTAAAGAACTAGAGTATTTTTTGTTTGCTGGCATCAGTTCCAAACTTCTATTTCAAATTCTGAACCAAACTTTCTCACTCCCTCCCCAAATGTTTATGTCTCCACCTTGATAATTTAAGCTGCTACAGAAGAAACTGGGTGAACCACAATCATCAATCATCATCACCAATCATCATCATCATCATTATCATCATCATCAGTGAGTCCTTTAGGTAGGTCATTGACCTTTTGGCCTATCAGTTCTTAAAATAAACACACAGTTCTATGGATAATAGAAATACAGTAATTGCTATCCATAGAACTGTACTAAATGCCATTCAGTCTATCAGTTCTTCTATCACATTGGTTCATAGAACTTGTTTAAGTCCAGCAGTATTACATTTTAGTCAATACGGGGCAAATTAGA